AAGTACTAATATGACTCCATGAGCAAGTATCAAATTCTGCAGATTCACAAGTGTTTAATCTTTCCATAAACCTTTAATTTATTCATCTTTTGTTGCTAATCATGTTTTCTTGGACCAAAGAGGGCTCGGTACCAGAATCTGAGGAAACATGAAGATATTTATTGCAATAAGATGGTTACATGCAGTGAAAATAGTAGTTAACATTGCTCTGTTTTCTACAGAGCAAATTTCATATATGTATTGTTGGGATTTAATTCTTCTAGACAAGACGAAAATTTAATTACAAGAAGACTAAAAAAGGCAATAAAATAGAAAATCTGTTAAAACCGTTGGCTCTTCAAATAGGTTATATGCAGAGTAAGAGGAGTGAAGTCGAAAGATATCTGAAGGTGACACAGTTCTTTGAGTGCTTCTTTCTCTCATTTCACCAATCAAATCCATTTAATGTCTATTGATTTAAACCCCATTTCACTTCAACAACTCAAGTTAGTATTTCTAAAATCAATCAAGAATGGTTCGATTCGATTGGATGAGTAATCGAGTGAGAATCTTAGGATCCATTGAAAAGAAAAACTCAGGAGATTTTCAAGGAACAAAACCTTGGTACAGTGATTTGTCTCATCAAATCTCTGTGTATGGTGTAGCTACAGGTTATTGCATCTCAACTTCTCTTCTCTCAATCATCACAAATGGGCAAGCATGAAATTCCCTTACCCCGGCACGTTAACCGCTCTTCAATACTTCACAAGTGCAGCTGGAGTCTTACTCTGCGGCCGGTTAAAGCTTATCGAACATGATCCTCTCAATCTCTTAACCATATGGAGGTTTCTTCCAGCAGCAATCATCTTGTACTTGTCACTTTTCACCAACAGTGAGCTTCTCCTCCACTCGAATGTCGACACTTTGATAGTGTTTCGATCAGCTGTTCCGGTCTTCGTCGCTGTTGGAGAAACCCTTTTCTTGAACCAGCATTGGCCATCTTTTAAAACATGGATCTCTCTTGTTACCATCTTTGGAGGAAGCTTCCTCTATGTACTCACTGATTACCAGTTTACAATCACAACATGTAGTTGGGCTGTTGCTTATCTTGTGAGTATGTCTATTGATCTTGTCTACATCAAGCACGTGGTAACGACTATCGGGTTAAACACTTGGGGTCTTGTGCTCTACAATAACCTCGAAGCTCTTCTCTTGTTCCCACTTGAGTTGTTTATAATGGGAGAGTTACATAAACTAAGGCATGAGATCACTGATGAACCTGATTGGTACAGTTTCTCAGTGGTTTTGCCTGTGGGTTTATCTTGTTTGTTCGGTTTGTCCATCTCTTTCTTCAATTTTTCGTGTCGCCAAGGGATTTCAGCTACCGGGTTTATGGTTCTTGGCATTGTGAACAAACTGTTAACAGCTATTATCAATTTGGTTATATGGGATAAACACTAAACCTTCATTGGTACTTTGGGACTCTTGATCTGTATGTTTGGTGGAGTTATGTATCAGCAGTCTATGATCAAGAAACCAAAAGCTGTACAAGATGAAGAACAGAAGAAACTGCAAGAGAATGAGGAAGCTCAGAAACTATGATCAATATATATATTACACAAAGTAACCTAGAAGATATACTTGCTATCTTAAATGCAAATAAAAACAGATTATACCAAGATTTCAAACCTAAAACTAGAAGCAAATCATGTTTATATAATAAGATGTCTATACAAAATAAAAACCACTTATGAAATGTGATATTGTCTAGTAATCATTGTAGAGACATTTATTATTATGGGAATAAGATATATTCAAAATGTATGCATCATTATGACATTGATATACTGCATCTCCAAGTTCATTTCATAAGCAAGTACTTACTTTGGGAACTAGACAATGATCACATTAGAGTTTTAAAGGTTTGAAAACTTTAGAAATCTAAGAAGTATAATAGTTTCTTTCAGTTCTATTCATTAGCCAATAGGCTTATTTATACAAAGATCCAGGCCCGGCCCACTAATGTTAAAGGCCTTGTGCCAAAAAAACTTTTAAAAAATTTTGGAGCCTTTTTATAAAACTAATAGAAATTGAAGACCTTTTTAAGCAATTTTACAAAAAAAAATTAAGGCCTTTTTGTAAATTTTTTTAACCAGAATTGTGAAGTTTTGGGCTAGACCCTGTGCATAAGCACTACTTGCACATGGGCTGGACCAGGCTTACAAAGATTCTAAGATGTCTAACAAGTTTTTTACATGTCATACATTTAAATGGAGTTTTAAAGGTTTGAAAACTTTGTACAGTAATAATAC